GGAAATTACATTAGGAAAGGTTATTTTAAATCTATATCCGTCATTAATTCATAACAATAGAAAGTTCTTTCAGAAATGCTATCGTCTGCCAGATGGTCCGTTAAAAGTGTAACTCATATTTGCTTTAACCTTTAGCCTGCTTTGGCTGCTACAGAATCTCCCCATGCTGCCAGTGCAGGCCAAACCACGCGGGACATCTGCAATCAGTACAAATTTTGATATTTACCCTAAAAATGATGAATGTTTTTGTCCAGATTGAAAGAAAGACAAGTTTATTTATGATATTTAGCGTAGTAAGGGCTAAACGGCGGTATTTTGTACCAATCATGGAAGAAATCGATAACAAAAGATGTAATATTTGAGAACTGCCGACTACAAACATTGATCTGGGCAAAATACAGTTTTCGCTATTGATTTCGCCGCTGTTATTCATTTCACCATGTAGAACACTCGGCTCTCAAATCAATATCTATGTAGCAAACTCCAAACACAGTATTGGATCTTCTTGTAGAGAACATGGCGGTCTGATATTCCGTAATCTATTTTCTCTTATTGTCTATGAATATAGGTGCTTTTCTCCCTTCTGAATAGCGTTACCTCTTCCCTCTCACCCTCTCTTTCTCTCTCTCTCTCTCTCTCTCTCTCTCTCTCCCTCTCTTTCTCTCTGTAAGTCCCTTTATTACAATTATCGCCAATTAAACATACATATCAAATAAAATCCGGCGGTCATTTCGCCAACAAAATAAAATGTGTATCATTTGTACCTCAGAAAATGTACCAACTACCCCATTCATTTAGAAATCATAACATGAAGCAATGCGGAAACTGGAAAGGGGTCAAAAAAGGAAAAGAAAGAAACGCCAGTCTGCAAACTTTCATGGGAACGAAAATTAAAAGCCCCCGGGAAAACCAATGGTGAAATTAGGCTTTGCGCGGGTAGAGTTGGCTGACTAGGCAAATGTCGTATTTAGCTATTGTACCGTGAGTTCCAAATAACCGTCAAATGAATTATGATTCATATTCTGAAAAAATAAATAATCGATGGATTAATTTGATATACAATCGAAACTAGTAGCTTACGTTTTGAATTTTTATTGGCAATTCATCATTAAATATCAAATGAGTGCACAAGTGTAAGCAATACTTAAACATACATGGGTATGCAAGTAAAACAAACAAAACATATTGTAAACATGTGAAAACCAGTAACTAAATTATGATGGCAACGAATTTTATTTGAATAATGAATGTATCGGTCGATGTGCGTTTTTGTAGGTATAAAACAATGTTGTTACCAGATATAAAAGTAACTTTTTCGGTCTTTTAGATAGTTTTAAGAATACACTGACCTTTGAAATTTCTTTAGAGTGATATAATTAGGTTAGCCAGTAATACATTTCATTCATTTTATGATTAATTGTTGACAAGATGTAAAAGTCAAGAGGATAAAACTAGACTCGTTATCTTAAGTTCGTTGACTTCGACGTACTTGCCCTCGATGCGATGGTTCGAATCCCGTCACAGACTTTGGATTATTTCATGTAAGGAAGCTATCCAGCTGGTTTTTGCCAACACAGTGGTTCTCCCCAGGCGCTGTGTTTACAAAGAAAAGATCAGGATCCTTTTCAATATTTCTGCAAACTGTTAAAAATTTCTTTTTGTATAAACAGAATTGCTTTCCTATATAAAAGTGCTAATGAAATGTTGTAATACAGACGAACCGCTGTCAAATACATAATGCATAAATATGTAAGATATTGAACTAATATACATTAAACATGTATATTTATTTGTGATAAATTGTTTAATACAAGTTTCAGATAATGTAACGCCCTTCATGCGTAGATTTATAATTTTAAATATGCGACATAGAACATAATAATAATATTATTATTATGATCTGCTACACAAAAAAATTGAACACAAACTTGCGTAAACTTGCTTTTTCTAACACTTATAATTTTACATGACAATTATATAATGATAATGATTTTATAGAATATTCCTGCATTTAACATTGAGTCTTTAAACCTGTGTATTTTAAAACAATTTTCTTCGGCATTTATAAAAGCTATACTTATTTGATTCCTAATTTCATGTACAGAAGAAACCAGTTTTTGTTGTTGAAGATTGCATACTGCTTAAACCGGTGCTAGGTGGGGGGGGGGAGATGTTGCATTTTGCAATATCTCTCATGAACAGACTCGAACAAGCTTTTTATAACTTTGATATCATTTGCTCTCGGGGGATCTCCCCTTTTCCTGATTTTTTATGAAACTGCATTTTCATAAATTCAACAATGAGCTGATAAAGCTTTAAAAAATATATCTCAAAACATTAAGAAGCATTTTTACAGAATCTATGTTAGAATTCGAAATCAAATTTATGAAGAAACATAGATTAACAAAACTCACAATTGAAAAAGAATTAAGCGAAAACGTTTCTTACTGTATCTTTTTCAGTTGAATTAATTAAATGAATATAAATAAATACAATTCTGACTGTACTGTACAACTTGATACAAATACCAGTTGCCAATTACATTATATCCATTGCACAATAAAACCATCATAAAATAATTCGGTAGGTAAAAATATCTTATCCAAATCAAAAGCATTTTCATAGTGATTTATTTCCATTTAGAATGATTGACAGTTTTAATCTTTAATGAGACAGACGGCCAGCTCACATTTGGCGCCATTAACGAATAAACACTTGTTACTGTAGGCACACAACGGAACTACACAAAACACTTAGTAAAACAACACAAAACCAAAATATTCTTGAAAGTAAAATTGAATAATGAAAACAGACACTGCCGATGTCATTTAGGACATGGCCTGTTTATTTTTGGTTTATTACCATAATTTGTTTCTTGTAATACTAAGTTTGTTTCAAGGTTGTTGTTTTTTCCGGGGGGTTGCTTTTTTTCTTCTTTTTTTCCAATTGACATATTGGTATTTTTTTGGGAAACACCAAAAAAACACCAAACGCCCCCTAGCACCGTCTTTATCTTCTGCCTAGTATCTAAAGTTATTAAATCGATGTTCCAAAAAGACATTAGATAGATAAAGTCTGAGGTCAATTAGGTCTTTTTATCCTAATTACGTTTTAGAGAATGTGGGGTTTTATTAAAATACTCATTTATCTTCTTAAAAAAAACACACACTTGTTTCAGTCCGACTATTTCGTAACAATAATGCAATAGTATTGCAACAGTATTACATATTTGTGACAAACAGACAGATGTGATGATGTAACATTGTGGGCATAAATAGTAAAAAATGGGTTTTTGTCTGGTCTGTTAATCAAACTAGTATAATTATCTATTTCATAATTGAGTGATGCTATTTTCTGTTGCTATATCTAATGACATTTGATCTATTAAAATGGTATTTTGATTGTACACGTGCATCGAATCTCGCTATACTGGCATGCGAGCAGTTCCCGTACAGAAGCAGTACCCGTATTTTTTTTATTTAAACGCTTGATTTTTACATGCATTCTTCAAAAATTCATTTCAAATCAAGCAGATACATAAACGAGACAAAATCTAAGTGTCAGTTCGACAGTACGTATAAAAAGTCTCATTTTAAATCACTTTCACCTGTGCGTTGTCAAAACATGACCTTGTTTTATCTGGGGGATTTCCGTCCTTACGCGCATGCGCAAATATACTTACGCGTGAGGCATGTTAAAGGGTTTTCCACTTATACCACCTGTTTACAGATAAGAAGGCAATGTGACGAAAACTTGTTAAATTATCAGAATTTTGACCAATATTACTATATAAAATAATTTTATGGCTTTGATGCTTAAAATATCATGCATACAAGCATGCCATCGCATGTGAATGCGTTGGGGGTAACGGTACCGGGTAATAGATACACGCGTTTAGTGTACTTTCTATTTCCTGAATTACATCTATTTAACTCTTAGAAAATGGTCTGTTCAACAATTATAAATGAAAAATAGGTCCGATATAATAAAACTGTATAATTATAATGGGTTCAATTTTATGTACGGAAACTACTTCTCTTCATACAAAATAATGGATAATTTCGGTACCCCATATGAGGCCTCATAACTAAGGGTTATTCTATGTTTAGAACATGATGGAATTTCCATGATTTGTGTGACGAGCCGAATATTGATGTGTAACGTTCAAATTTTGGTGAGTGAACGTAATAAAAAATAATGTTTAAGTAACTAAGATTTTTGTACGGGAACTGCTCGCATGCCAGTATACATCTTTAGATTTCGGTATTTATTTTTACCCCGCCCTTATTCGTTGTCCCACTTTCCACAACAGACACTTGGTTGTGGAACGCCAAAACGTCTTAAAATCCAAGTAAATTGTATATTTGTCAATCCCAGCACATAAACTTGTCATATATAACAATAAAACCTTATATAAGCTGATTTGGAAAAAAATGTATTGAACGTCTATAATATTATATATTTTAAGGCGCTTGGAGTTCCCAACCCATAGTGTCTGTGCTTTCCACCAACCGTTGTGATGGTTTAAAGCAATTATTTGCATGTTAAAACAATAGTTTAAAGAAAATTGCATGTTAGGACAATAGTATAAGAAATTGCTTAAGAAATTTGCAGTTAATATTTATCCAATTTATGTTGTTTCCTTTATTTTGATTACAACCTCTAAAGCACACAGCTACTAGTAATAAAATTTACAAAAAAGTTGGGTGTATCTATGAAATGGTATTTTCATCAGTAATTAAAACATCTTTGTATTTTTACCTGCGTGTCTTCTTTAAAGGCCCATTATGCGTCAGATGTTAGTTTTATTTCTCAAAATATGTTTATATTTTGGTATCTTGTTACAGTTTCCAAAAACATACTCAATTTGCTATATAAATGAACCGTTGCATGACTACTTATTAACTTATTTGATGTAAGAAGTGTTTGAGATGTGATTGTGCCTTTTGGATAGTACTATACATGCACCAAACTCTACAATATCTTTTTCTTCTTTGCAGAATTATTCACGAGGGTGGATTCACCTCTGAAGACAACAAACAATTTAAACCTGTTGTTTACAGTAATACAATTCAATCATTAGTAGCCATTATACGTGCGATGGGGACGCTGAATATTCCATTTGGCGCAAATGAAAGAGAGGTAAGTTGACAAAAAAGTACTTTCATAGGTTATTTCTTAAGATCATGTCCCAAATTTGTCGAATATTCCTAGCACTCTCCTAATTTCAACAGACCGTGAGTCAACTTTATCGCATTATTCTAGTACTGTATCTCCTAATTTGAACAGGTCATGAGACAAGGTTATCAAATATTCATAATACTCTATCTCATAATATTTCAAAGGTCATGAGTCAAGGTTGTCGGATAATCCTAATACACTTTCTCCTAATTTTAACAGACCATTAGTCAAGGTTTTCCAATATTACAAGCACTCTATCTCCTAATTTCAACAGACCACCAGTTAAGATTGTCGGATATTCCTAATAATCTATCTCCTAATTTCAACAGGTCATGAGACAGGGTTGTCGAATATTCCCAGTGCTATATCTCCAAATCTGCAGAAATTGAGAAAAGGCTGTCGAATATTCATAGACTTGCATTTCTTATTTTCTGCAGATCATAAATCGAGCCGAATAATAATAGTCTTACATCTCCGTATTCCTTCAGATTATCAGAAAAAGGTTGGACAATATTCATAGTTGAATATCTGCTATTTTCGACAAACACTGAGACAATGTTGTCCAATATCCCTAGGTATGCATCTCCTAATTTCAACATACATGTATAATGAGACTAGCTTGTGAAATGTTTAGTTATCACTGCTTATTTCGGTCGAGCAAGTTAAATTTTAAAAGAAAATTAAGGAAAAATATCAAAAATCCTTATATCGCATTTAGAAATATAATAATTACAAAACAAAATATGCTTACCTAATTGCTTAGGCTTTTGTCTTGTTACTTAACGTAGTTCTAGTAACTGCGCTACCACCTATTTGGAATCCTGCGGGGACATATTTCACAATGATTTCTGAGGTTAAAGTTGATTCTTAAAGTCGTTCAATTTGGTATTTATAAAAAAATATGGATAGTCAATTTAACCACAAAATGACGTCAATAGGTATTTGTTACAACTCGGTAATATAATGTTTTATCCTTCAAAAGACAAAAAGTATGTGAAACGCTTAAAAAGATATCAATTCACCTATGAACGTTTTTTATGGAAAAAAAAAATACTAGCCTTCAAAAGTGATAGATGAAAGGGCATATAAATATGTTAATTTACCTATTTAGATCAGTTTATTTCCCATGTAGTCATAATATATTTGATATCTCATATAGATACAAAGTTTCCAAATTTATCTCTTCTCCTATGATTAAAGTAACATTAAAACAACACAGTTTAATGTTTGGCGCTGGTGCAAATGAGTCTTACAATGCATTATTGTATTATTTTTTCGTAATGGATAAGTATCATATGCGAAAAAGGTCAATATAACATTCAATTATACTGACCTATTTAAACCTTAAGTCTTGAAATGCCAAGGCAACCTTAATATTTTAAAAGAAGTGATATTTTATAGAATATGAGATTAAGGGCAGTAAACGGTCCGAATATGCCATACTTGTTGGAAATCATGTACACCTATCTTTTTCTCTAGCATTTTAAGAGGAGATTTAAACAATATGTTTGAAATAACCATAAAATGTTAATGAAAAGACGTAACCCCACAGCCGCTGGCAAATTCACGTTTATTATGCTACTACGTCACGTTTAACGTAAAATATGTTAACTGACATTTTAAATCGCAATTAAAAAATAATAATTAGGAAACCTATTATTATGTTCTTTTTGTATGTGATGAGAATATGTCTAAGAATGGTACATTAACGTATACCAGATATCAGAGTTGTTCTGTTTTTACGTACTTTGTGCACATCATGAATTTAGTGCTATAAATTATATGTGCATCATTAACAATAAATTTTATATACATTGAAATGAAGCATGATTCAAAAAAGCTTTTATGATGTGGATATATTTAAATTATTATCTGAAACAAAATTAAATTTTCATAGATCTGAAAATTCGGTCGGACTTAACCCCCTTTTGTCCAATGAAATTCTGAAATTCAATGCTATTTTTGAATGATTGTAAGATATATTTAAAATAAAAGTACTTAAAATTGGCAGTCGGATATCTTAACAGATAACGACATTTTAAAAGAAAACCAATTACATAATTAATTTAAGCAAAATTTTGGTTTAAATAGCATTTTAAACGGGGAAAGACCAAAACATCATATGAGCTGAAAATGGTGGGTTCCGTCTGTTATAAATACTATCCTCTACCAACACATTGATGAATTGGATGTTTCTTGCAAAGTGTTCAAATGGGTACGGTTCATTTCATATCAGGACACACAGAGTATTTATACCTATATTGGCTGATATCTTTTGTATAAAGCCGCTTTTAATTCACCTCTATCGTTCTGTCACGGTCAAGGTCTCATAGGTGCTTCATTTATGTCTGACATCTTTTAAATTTATTGCTATTTAGGTATATTACATGGACTTCACCAATTGACTGGAGTTTGGTCACATGGGTTTTATCTGATGTAACATAATTATATAGTTAAATATCTCTAAAAACAACGTCATTTGCATAAAATATGGAGTGATGTATATTTTAATTTTTACCCGTTAAAAAGCCATCTGCATGAAATCTGGAATATGGATTAAAAAAATTAAAACTGATAAATATTCTTTTAAGTTGTTTAAAGCACATCAATATAAAACATTTTTTGTTACTGCCAAACTGTATAACTAAAAATACATGCACTGGACTAACCTTTAACATAATGTACAGAATAATGAGAATATACATGTAAAAGACTTACTTTTTCAGTACTGTAAACACTATTCACGTATTGGACTTAGTTTTGACGTAATCTACAAAATATACTGGTATTTGACTTACTCTCTGTGCTTTTTACAAAAGTTCATGTACTGGGTTTACTTTTGATATAATAAGTAGCCTATACTCGTATTTGACTTACCTTCGATGTAATTAACTAACAATAATTGTATTGGACTTACTTCCGTCGTAATCTACGTACTAGACTTAATGTACATGATTTACTCGTATTGGACTAATTTTGACGCAATCAACTGAAATGTATTGGGCTCACCTTAAGTGAATAATGCGAATAGTATACATCTATTGGACTTAAGTAATTTAAAAACTATGCACGTATTTTTTTATTTTTTTTTTGCTTTTGGCTTTGTGAACACGTGTTGGATTGGCTTTTGACGTAATGTACAGAATATTCACGTATTGGACGTGCTTTTGATGTGATCTATAGAATAAACATGTATTTGATTTGCTTTTGACAAAATGTACAGAATATAAAATATTGGGCGTACTCTTGATGTGATCTACAAAATATACACGTATTGGGCGTACTTTTGATGTGATCTACAGAATATACACGTATTGAACGTACTTTTGACGTGATCTACAGAATATACACATATTGGACGTACTTTTGACGTGATCTACAAAATATACACGTATTGGACGTTCTTTTGATGTGATCTATAGAATATACACGTATTGAACGTACTTTTGACGTGAGCTACAGAATAAACACGTATTGGACGTACTTTTCACTAGATCTGCAGAATTTAACTTATTGTACTTACGCGTATTTCATCACGTATAACTTGACATGCCGAACATCAAAATTTTGTTTCAATAAGCAAACATTAAACATTGAATTTTTTTTAAATTGCTACAAAGTATTTAGCATATATACTTTGTATTTTGCTAAAATTGCTCCGAGCCTTTAAATTAATAACGCCATCTGTCGGTCAAACAAGTTAAATTGGATTCTAAACTTGAAAACGCACCCATAAACAATGTTCTAATCTTTTTTAAACCTGTCGTTGGCGGCAATAATGATTTAAAACCAATAATATATCGCTCTATATAAGTCATCAACATATTTGAACTGCAAAAAACACTTGAAAATTTAATCAGAATGTCTCAATAAACGCTTAGAAATCAAACTCCGGTTTTACAAAGAAAACAAGTATTGATTATGGCACACAAAAACAACTAATTTGATCTATTTTTTTTAACCCTTAACGAGTTACATTCTCGGGTCCACTTTTCAATCTATGACAAAACCATTTTTCATTTTAGCGAACAATGCAGACTATGGATGTGCCGGCTAATCTTGGTCTGAAGTGGTTGCATTGGTAGAATATGAATAAGTACATATATTAACTACATAAGTTACTAACAATAATATATCTGGGACACTTGAGTAGGCTAACATATCTTTGAAGGGTTAAATCGCTTTTTGGTGGAATTAACTAGAGCTATATCAAAATATCACATATAAAATTTGAGTAATATAACCTGACACCAAAGCAGTAGTACGTGCTATACTGCAGTCAGGAGTGGGAGTTAAGAGTAGCCGCGGAAGGTAACCTTACAAACATGACAAAGGCCAGGAAACGAAACTCCCGGATGCTCGGTAAATTTCATCATTCATAGATTCTTCAGTTATGAAATTTCATGACAGTTTAAGCTCACAAAAAGAAGAAAGATAAGGGTGCTCCAGACTCTAATGCCTTTGATTGTATGCTATTTCAATTTTGGTAATGGTCGGGGACTTTTAGGAGGCGCACATCGGATGCACCCCCCTCAGTGCCCTCACACCTTATTACCCCTTGAACGTGAACTACTATCTAAAATTGTGTCGCTTTTCAAGGTTATTTGTCTGAACAAGGTATTGATAATATTAGATCTTGTACATGTAAAAATAACAACATTAACAAATAAGCATATGTGGAGGCAAGACAAATCTGAATGGGTTAGAGAAGTTCTCCTTTCTATATATGAATCCAACAAACATTTCTCGCGGTGATTCTGCTATGATATGATGAGGCAAATCTCCTCCACGCGTTTGTGAATTGGTCGATCATGTTCTCAGATGCTTAAGTTGGCTCCATGGCTGTGAATATACGCAAGTGCCTGAAAATCAATAGCTGTGCTGGGCAGAAATCGATTATGTGACAAAAGTTACTCCCCTTGTTTTAACGCGTTATCGTCATCTTGTAGATATTTCAATAGCAGACGACGCGGACGATCAATATGCGGTTCTAATAAATTGTCCATGCTCCAGATAGCGAGTAATACCAAAGGATCGGCATGTAAGATCGATTTTGAAGTTTTCGGTTTCTATGCTACCATTGTTTTCTATTAAGAAATCCATATATTCATTCATTTAATAGTGAATCACATGTTGTTAACCAGATACTGTATAGCCGTACTCACATGAAAGGCAGCAAAAGACATTGTAAATTTTGCTCTGAGTTATCGTGTAGAGGTATTATATCCACAGATAACGTAGAGGAATCAATGATTTCTGATTCATGTTGAATTATAGCAAAATCAATAACCGTTTGTTTCGCATTAGGCTTTGAGTTGCTAACATTCGGCATGCCATATCGTAATGCTTTGAAATTTACCATGTATACTCTGTAAAAACTAAAAATAGAATCAAAGCAGACGACGTACAAAAAGTCATCAGCGGATATTTAAATGCGTTCACCGACCAAGGATTGACGTTTTCTATCCTTCCAGGTGAAAATAGGATGGAAAAATGGTGTTTGTCATTTCCTTTTTAAAAAAAAACATCGATTCCAAATGTACATGTACTATTTTGACTAATTTTAATTAATAGGAATTACCAGCTCATTTTCTTGCACTGTTCGCTATTCAGTCATTATATATATTTTTAAAATTACGACAAACAATGAGACTGATAGATGGACAGGCTCATTTAAGATTCATAGCCTGGAACTGGTTTAAGTCGGTTGTTAGCTGTCCTCTGATTAAGAACTATAAGTTCTATAACAAGCACCGCACCCGAATTCTATAGTTACTAAAAACCATCATTTATCTCACAAAAATTACACACACAAAATGTGCATCACAACGAACTTGTTGACGTAACTGACAAATATCCTCGTATGATTCAAATCATCTACCAACCTTTTTTATACAAGAATAATTTTTAGTTGTACATTATGTATTATAAATGATATTGTAACCGAATTCCATTTACAAATAATGCACTGCGCCTTTAAATATCAATATTAAACTTTTGATTATACACAATAATGTAATAATCGTAAAATATATACAAGTTGAAATAGAAAGTTTTAATTACAGATATGGTAAGAACACAAATTATTGTCAATTTTCTCTGTAAATCTCGCCTCAAAATATGAAACGACTGCATTTATTTGCAAAGCATACAAATTTACAATCATGCTTCTGTTGAGAAAGTTATAAATATCAAATTAACAAGTATTTCAAAAAAGAATTTGTCCATTCGATGTGAATAAAATTTTGCATCATTTCGTGCGATACGATACTGCCCAGACTATGAACAAATACGTTTCTTTAAAAAATGCATGAATGCTAAATATAAGAAAATGTGTGGGAAAATACGTTTCTTTATTACCTAACTTGTTGTTTTAACACGTTTGTAATTATATGCCTTTGTTTTGCATACTGAGTAGAACTAAAATCGGTTATCTGGAAGTACTTGTAAGTAAGTATTCAAAGAAATACGTGTAACATTAAAGGAAATTTAGATGCTGTAAATTTGGCCTTAAGGGGGTATTTAATTTTACATTTTATATAGCCTACATGTTATGTGATATTTTAAATGATCGCAGACGACAATCGACTTAAACATATAACTGGGGTTTTGGGCGCGTAGGGTGAGGGGACAGAGTTTCTTTTTGCATACAGATCTTATATAAAAATGCAAATAGATATAATTGGATTATAACTTAAGAGGTCCATAAAACGTAAAATGAATACCAAAATTGGATTAAAAATATAATTGAATTGGTACATAAAAAGGTATGTTGTAAGAAATATTACAAATATCATGGGTGCACAGTTTTGCAAAGATATTTTCGATATATGTAAGAATATAATAATGGCATAATTCAATAATATGATTCGAATGTTGTAAACATTGAGCTTTTCAAAACAAAATAAACATCTTTGCCCTTGTTCATACGACCTCAATATCTAAGAACATGCTATTTTATATTTTATTCTTCAGTAGGCCATCAGGAGGCTCGTTTTCTGAAGAACTCATATCTTATCATAAATTCCTCGCTAGGTGCTTTCCGTAGCTTTTCTTAATTCACCTATACTACCGAGATTGATTGTTACTATTTATAGCACGCGCTTTGAAGTGTTTATGACTCACGCGTTTGATTACGAGTTTTAACTACACGAGAATAACGCGTTCTCGAATAGACAGACAATTAAATATTCCAGTCTGTTGGAACAGCCGGAGTTTTTTTTATTTGAACTTTTATTCCACTTTCATCAAGCGTTTGTTAATGAATAATTAATATTTTACCGTCTATATATACTCGGCCGTGGTCTCCAGTGCAATATGCTTCTTTATTATGCAATCGAGTTCACTCTTAGTCTAGTTTGCCATTGATTATTCTTAGTGATATTAATATAAAGATGTATTTATATATTTTCCCTTTAACATTTGTTTAATTTTGATGTAATGATAATAATAAAAATGCGTTAATCTAATCAAAATTTGATAATTTTGATGGAAACTGTCAAATAACGCTGGCTAAAATACTATATGCATATAAAGTTTATATTGGTTACATGTTACATAATACAAAGCTTTACTGTTTTATGAATACGTTGATACTATTTAATGCAAATAGAATTACCATAAGAAAGAAATATGCAAAAAAATATATCACCGTACCACCTCATACTAGCAACAATCTCTTGGGTTGTGTAATACTTTTAGCGTAGTGTTGTTATATTTTTCTGGTCCTTATGGATCATTGATTCCAACACTTTTAAGTGTTGAAAATTGAGTACCGCTGGAGGGCGTAAGAGATGTTTCACTTTTTCATTATTCCTCATGTAACGTTATAATAAAAAAGTGCAACATCCCTCAAGCCTTGTAGCACCGGCATGAGCGGCACTCAATTTTCAATTCTTAAAAGTGTTGGAATCAATGATCAAACCGAGTCTGCAATGTTAATGCTTCCCGAGTGATCACCCTTCTTCCTGATTTGAATAATAATATTTTTTAGTGTGTTTTTCAGTCCGATGCAAAAATGGTGTTAGATGTAATTGCACGTATGGAAGATACAGAACCGTTTTCTGAAGATCTGCTTGCTGCCATGAAAAGGCTGTGGCAAGATGCCGGCGTTCAGGAATGCTTTGGACGATCTAATGAATATCAGCTTAATGATTCAGCGAAATAGTAAGTCTTAAACTGCCTTATTTAAGACATTTAATTGTTATTTTGAATCGTACAGTTTTGCTGTTATCATGTATCAAATGTTTGTTTTGATTGAAGTGAAGTGTAACCTCTGCAAAGCGGCCCCCTCTATAGAGCAAGAACCTCTTTACAACAACAGTATCAATTCGTATTATAAAAAAGGGAAAATAGGAATCTCTAAAGAAAGTCCAAAACGGCAAAATTGAAAATATAGCAGGCTCGGTTTGATTGAGCCTGTTCATGGACGATAATGTCAAGTGCAAACTACCGTCCACGCCCCCTAGCACCGGCTTAAGACTTCACACTAAATTTAACCTATCTAAAGCAATATCGCTTAGAAACAACCAAAATAATTGTCCCTCCAGATGTTGTACTGTTTGCCATATCCTCCATTATTTGTTTCTCTGTTTTTATTTATTTCTTTACAAAAAGGAAGTCTTGAACTGCATAAACTATTAACTGTTTTAGTGTCATATATTATATTAGTTACTGTATTTACTATTTTGCGAAATTGCTCCTTATAGGATTTTGCATTAGTTAATTTTACACAAAACAATAACTATTGAATCGCACTTAAGACTGCGCTAACTGATTCTTGTGTAGTATATTCTATAAGGTAATTATGCTTACATATTTTGCGAAATAGTATTTGTAAGATATATAGTCTTGAAATTACTTGATGTTTGTGTCGTGTAATAATTATCTAATGTGTTTACATTTTTGCTTAAATCGACTTAATTGAAACAATTATTGATTTTTTGTATCATATTTAGTTAAGTACTGTGTAAAGTACTCTTAACATGTTTGTGAAATAGTAATTAAGCCTTGATTGATTTTTTATCATACTTACTTAAGTACACATGTACTATGTTTAGTACTGTTTACATTTTGCAAAATAGTCAGCCTTAAATCGAAACAATTATTGATTTTTCGTCATATAAATTTAGATATTCATTTTCATTTTTGTGAAATATTTAGCCTTAAATTGACATGATTAAAATATTAATGTATTTTTATCGTATGTAATTAGGTACTGTGTTTACATTTTGTGAAAAAGTAAACCTTAGATCGACTCGATTTAAACAATTAATGATTTTTTCTCATCATATTTAATAAGGTACTGTACATTTTTTGTGAAATAGTGAGCCTTAAATTGACATGAGTAATATATGAATTGATTTTTATCATATTTAATTAAATAAGTACAGAAGCTTTTTTGTAAGTGAAAGTTTTCATTTAACTTAAGGTAGTATGACACTAAAAGTTTCACTTTCCTCTGTTTCAGTTTTCTCGACGACCTTGACCGATTGGGCGGCAAGGATTATATGCCTACTGAACAAGACATATTGCGAACGCGAGTTAAGACAACTGGAATTGTTGAAGTCCATTTCTCTTTTAAAAATTTAAATTTTAAGTAAGTATACCATGAATTGTGGTAATAACCAGCTGAAAAATAAAGTACGGAAACGATAAAGGGCCTCCATTTAGTTTGATCATGATGTAAAAGTCGACCTTTTTTATTGATTTAATTAGATGTTTTAACACAGACCAATTCACTTTATTGATTTGTGTTAAATCATCAAATCATATCGAATTATGATTTGCCGACTAACACGTCATGATCGTACAAAACGGTGGCCCTTTTACGTTTCCGTAAAGAAGAAAATTATCGCAAATTTGACAGACATAGGCAATTGAATGAACGAATCATCCCAACCATTCTCTATTATGTGGTGGTCGAAATGTAACATGTACAATTCTATGTGGCATTGGCACATGAAAATAAATGATTTTGTTCGTTTTGCGTTAGTGACAGACCCGTGTGATGCAAAGACAAGACGACGTCGCGAAAACATGTGAAAACCTTACTGTTGGTTGATATCTTTTAAACATTTTCCCTTCCCGCCCGATTAAACGAAATTCCCTGCAGATGACGTAAATCAATTATCATATTTTGCTAATGGAACATTCATTTTGGGTATCAACAAATAAAGTCACAAAATGTAAAACATTGCAGACACAACAATGAAAAGGAAATTGAGGAGAGTCGCCGTGGTTACCTAGGACGGGTTAAATGTATACACGGTCACTAGAGAATGAATGTACCGTTTTTCGCACAAAGAAGATGACACATTTAAAGTCTGAGTCCGCAGTTCGGGTGATTTAGGCACTACTTTATTAAAGAATATGTTCGGTTCTGAGATTTTGCGTTTTCATGACGTTAAGTGTTAATACAGCATCACCAGAATGGCGGTGCTCCAATTGTATGACCTTAAGTTACATAAATAAATATTTGACATTTAAAAATGTCTGGCAAATGATCGATTAGAAAATGAGGCTTAAAACTACTTTTAGTAAAGTTATGGCTAACACCTTTTAAAATAAATTTAATCATGCCATTTAAATAACCCTAAAAGACGCTGCTCTGACGTCATATATCGTAAAAGAAATATTTCGGATATTAAAATGTCGTCTGCTTTATAAAGAATGCGCGCACAATTATGAACGCTTAATTAGAATGGAATGTGTTAATTGGTTGAGGCTTGTCAAAATAATGCTGATGAGTAAAGATGTACTCACTGTCAGGGTTATTTATAGAGAAATAGAAATAATTAACTACAACAACATTAAACTCTTTATAAATACAGTCAGAATGGAAATCGTTTTGATTTTCTATACAACGAAATAGTATTTTTAAATTACAATATTTCTTCATAACTATGATGGCATATTTGCACCATTCTGCGACACATAAACAAAAATTGTAAATGGCAATAATTAGCCACCATACTTCATAAAAGATCTACATTTACCTTTTCCAGTCCTTGTGATGCGCAAACTTTTGACGCTTTTATATTTTCTAATGTAATAAGGTGTTGTTAGGCAAAAGAACGCATAAATACTGAGGATTTTACGAATGAAGTCGTTTACAGGAATATATATGCCTTTCCAAGGGCGACAACTCATTCAATTTCCATTAGGTTCCACAATGTGACAAATTTCGTAAAAATAATACAATGTCTAGGGCTAAAACCAAAGAGATTATATATGTTACGTTTATTCGATGTAAGAGATCAAAGGGCAGTAAAGAAACTAAGAGTGTTTCCTTGTTTAAAAGATGAAATGCTATATTTTTTCAGATTATTCGATGTAGGAGGTCAGAGGTCAGAAAGAAAGAAGTGGATTCACTGTTTTGAAGATGTGACAGCTATTATTTTCTGTGTAGCAATGAGTGAATATGACCAAGTCTTGCACGAAGATGAAACAACCGTACGTACCTTGTCTCTTGTAAAAGAACGAGTAGAGTGACTTGGTGGATGGCGTCTGCCGCAGCCAATGATCGTTTGAAATGTTAACTATGATGTGTATTGACTTAGAATCACTAGGCCGTTACGTCGTCTGCATCACAACCAAGTTTATTTTAGATTTCGAGCCATACTTTGACCATGAAAATGTTAACAAATTTGTTAAACGGAGTGACTATGCGATTAAGTGTGCTTCACAACCAAAGGGTTTTTTTTTAATTTCGAGCCATACTTATGAAACGGAAGTGTCTGACTAAATGGTTAAGGCATCAGTGTCGCAACTCGGGAACTGTTGGTTTCGAACCAAATCTTGATATGGAAAATGTTGCATTTTTTTTTACGATCCAAGGGCCGAGTGTTCTGCTAAGAAAGTAATCTGACTAAATTTCAGATCATCTTAGGAGATTGACGATGAAGCCAATAGTTTTGATGGGGTATAGTCAAGTAGTTAGGTGGACTGTCTTTCAACTTAGGGAACTTCGTTTTCAACCATATTATAATCATGAAAAAGAAAATCAATAATATAGTATTAAAATCAATAATAATATAAGGTAATAAAGTTGGACATAGTTGGTTGACGTAGATAATTCAGACTTGCGCCCTATGAGAATGATACATAGGGCTGGAATATGGTAATATTGTCTGAAGTCATTCATCATCCATCCATTTTCATTTTAATAATTATTTGGGTAAATAAACCTCATATGATCAAATAGCATTGTTTCGTGTTATTTTCAAGCAGATGTATTATTCAAACGCCGTCTTAACTACTTGATTTAAAAAAAAAATGCATATACATTACGTAATAAAGTGGGACGTAATAAAGTGGGACGCGTACAACTGCGGGCGATATTTTCGGTCTCCACACAGTATTTTTATATATGTGATAAACTCATTTCTTGAAGAAGCTTCCATTTTCAGACTGAAATATTTAATAATATATTAAAGCAACAGCAGTCCTTTTACAACATCTAAAACTGAAAATATAGATAATTTTGAGTAACAACAATAAATTGATGTTTTTTGATAAACGATTGCATTTTCTTACTAGACAATTTGTGTTGTTTTCGTTTTGAGAACCATAAGAAATGGATGAGTCGTGTATTTTGATAAACTATTCTATTCCCATTTCTTTAAAATTGCGTTGTTGTTGTTGTTTTCAGAATCGTATGCAGGAAAGTCTGAAACTGTTTGATTCCATTTGTAACAACAAGTGGTTTACCGACACATCTATAATTCTGTTCCTGAACAAAAAGGATTTGTTTGAAGAAAAAATTAAGAAGTCATCACTTACCGTTTGTTTTCCGGAATATACAGGTACCTTAATTAATTTATTGACCGCCAGAATATGAGGCTATTAGGTCGCAAAGGTTTAAAATATATCTGAACTATGAAATTTAACCTCGTGAATTTGTGAAAAAGATTTGCCCTGAGGAAAAGTTCGTTTGAAAAGAAAGGGATGTCAATTTCAAAATAGTTTTACACAAACAAAATGACTTACTAACAGTATAGAGCCTGGTCAGACTGCACGGATGTGCAAGATGGTCTGGCTCTATAATGGTGGCAAAGGTTGATCACATTGGTTCCAGCAGGCTTAATGGTATTTAGAAAATCAATTTTACTGAAATAAATTGGAAAATGAAACAACTCCCTAAATACTCCCTAAATGTGGAAAACATAGTTTTTGTTGATCACATTGGTTCCAGCAGGCTTAATGGTATTTAGAAAATCAATTTTACTGAAATAAATTGGAAAATGAAACAACTCCCTAAATACTCCCTAAATGTGGAAAACATAGTTTTTGTTGTTTTAATCGATTTTCAAAATTTACAATGGTGTGACCTTGATCCTTATGTTGAAATTAACTTCCTGTGTATTGGCAGCTGATAAGCCCTTATCATCTGTTGGAACCGAATGGACTTGTTACGGTCAAGTCAATTACATGAAAAGATAAAGGATTAAATGACCACGTAAGAGTACTAGTAACTATCAGAAGATCACATCGTATAATTATGCTTGTTTGAAATAGTTTATGTCAAGGTATTAAAATTTCGATTTTTAAAAAAAAATATTGAAGTTTTGCTTATTGTAGATGGTATATCTTTTTTAACGAAAATTTGTACAATTTTTCAAAGATTTGCTTTGAAATAATCATAGTGAGATAACAAACAAACAAAGTAGCATACTAATTGTACCTTCCTTTTGAAATAAGTATCATTTTCAAGCGTAAATTAAAAGAAAATATAACATTGAGAATGCATATAGTTATAATGTACATGTATATTTATTTTTGATATTGTGTGATGAAAATAACAACACAGTCAAAACTGGTGTAATCTTATGTTTCAAAATGTAATGTAATATGGTATAATACTGTTTTAATAGAAGTACGGTTTCTATTTATTATTTGGGACATAATGTTATATAATGCCATTCTTTTGTTCAGTCACGTGTTGCATTATGAATACGATGTTCTCGTGTTTTTAAAGTGCCCGGCTCCTCACTTGACTGTGCTAGTTCACTTATTGAATATACATGCATATGTTTTGAAAACAAATTGCATATAATTTCAAATTTTGTTCTTTCTCTCCAAAAATCACAGGCAAGAATACCTACGAAGAAGCGGCTGCCTACATCCAGGCCCAGTTTGAAGCGAAGAACAAAAGTTCAACGAAAGAAATTTACTGTCACCAGACGTGCGCCACTGATACAAACAACATTCAGTTTGTATTTGACGCGGTTACTGATGTAATTATAGCTAACAATCTTCGAGGATGCGGCTTGTATTAGAGATTCTGACCCCATTCGTCAGGGTCAAAGTATGTGGGAAATATTGATTGGATTTCAGATTATGTGTGCTAAACTGAGTAATGTCGTCTGTTATTCACCATTTGAAACGGTTCGCTGGTTAAAATTTGAAACTGTGGTAACAAGATGAAAATTCGAAACCGCGGTTTTCATATAAAACGTTGATAAATGTGACCTTTGACATCAGTGTTAGCATTCAACTGACCGTGAATCAACCAAGACTGGTTGTTAAATGCTTGTTTTTTAACAACACATTTATAGGTGATTTAAAATTCACTGTCATGGCCTTGAGAAGTTGAAAAAGTGCGGTCCATGATTTCTTGGATTTATAACAGGCATCCTTAATTGGAAGGGAGTGCGAGCTCCATAACGTAATTTTTATATATGGTGGTGTTATGATGCTTCTTGTGACCAAATATTTATTTGTGATGTCTGACCATGTATAGTAGCGCGCCCATTTCCGGTACATTTGTATCCGGGCATTTTGCTGTTAAGCTACTATAAATAGATTTATTGATTTTATTGCGAAATGTCGAAGACTTCTCGTGTCGCAAGTTGTTGTGTATTTATTTATCATAATAATTGTGCGAGTGTTCATGCCACATCGTGTCATTAGTAGAAATTTGGGAGTCGCGTGCATGTTATATGAAAAAAGATATTGTCTTTGTATTTTTCTATAATTTTGATCAATATGAGTGAGTGAGGAAGCCTATATAGATCTAGTTTTAAAAATTATTATTTTGCAGTTTATAATCGGCAACATAGATCTACCTACTGTGCATCAGCGCTTCGTCATGTGACATCTTTAATTCTGATTATTTTTAAAGACCTATAATGGACGACATAACATTAAATATTTATCAACTACCCGCATAAGATTTGATGTACTTAAAAACTGCCAAACAAATAAAATAACATAACGAAAATCACGAACGCTGTGAACTTCGAAAGTACTTGGCACATATATGTGTTTACAAAATCATAAATAAGAACATGTTTCCGTTAACTAATAACTACCAAAAATTCAAATGAAAATTTAAACAAATAGGTGAGCAGTATCTTTGTACCAGAATCAGGAACAAAACGATCTAATAAGCCCAGCCAAAGTATCAAGAGCAGGTACATACATGTATTAACAAAGTAGTCCCAATTTGGATGTCACATCATTTCATACTGTAAAGTAGAATTCAATTTAGATTTCAAAATTATGTATATCGAATTCTTATATATCACAAATATTAATATTTTGATTGGTATTTCATTTTGGTATTCCTTGTCCTTAGGTCGTAACATAAATTCTTTAGTCTTTCAGTATGTTTGCATGGCAAGGATTTATAGGATTAAGATCTGCTTTGAGGTCATTGTACGATCCTTAATTGGCCCTTTTGATATGAAAAATTTAATGAACTGAAAAAACAACTGACTGTTCACAAAGATCAACAAAACTTAGAATTGGGGAAAAACTTAACAAAAGCTGTTAAATTGTTTCATCAGATACAGTACATTCAATATGAAGTTTTTTCTAATAAGACAGTAGACCTTAATGAAAAATTGCTACGCCTTTGTAGTCAAAGGAACGCGTTGCCATCGTGCAAAAAGGCATGTAAATTTACTTTACAACTGACGTGCAGTACTCAGCGACCATGTGATATAACCGGTTTTTGCAAATAAATGTACATTTTTTCTAGTGCATTTAATGCAATGTATGCCTACCTATGAGCAAATAGTGCTTACAGTTAAGACACTTGAAAGAAGGAGCTTAACTTTGGAACGCCAATTTTAGGACAGTGGTAATTCTCGTTGCATTTTTTAGCTTTGTAAAGAGGATACGAAATCTGTTTTGAATCTAAAACTATCATGAAGCCCAGACTTTGATGTTTTATAAATGAAAGGCTATTTCTTGTGCTTAATGTTGTATACATGTGTGTTAGATTTTAAACTCGATGAGTGGACAGTTAAGTAGTATAAAAGTGTGATGATATTTCAAACTTTGTAAAAGTATACATGTAATAAATATTTGTACATGTGTACCTGTTTTAATAGCTTAAATGTTGCGAATGATTTTATAAATCATCTTTTTACATATGGTGTATCTATTGAATTAATTATTTGATGTTATGGTAGAAGTAAAGGGACCCCCGAAAGGTCTGTAGCACAAGTTTAACCTAGTACTCAAATGTTTTATAAATGCATATGAATATAAATGGTTAAAGGATTTTTTAAAACAGAATATTATTACATTGATAACATTGCTCGAAAATGATCACATTGTTCTAAAATAAGTCACCGGTCACGTGAGGTGATTGGACCATGGGCCATCTTTTCCATCGTTTCATCCACGAAATTTTCGTGCAAGTGTTAAAATATACTCTACTTATTTATACACGTTGTAAGTAAATAACAAAAATCGTTTCAGTTCAGTGTTGTTTCTATATGGTTTATTATATGGACACATCAACTTTTCAAGAAGGGTGTGTTTCTAATGAAAAATGTGTCGTTTTCACGTGATGTGTGACATGTGCAAAAAAACATGCAAAGGCTGAAAATATAAAATAAACATAAATGTACTTCTTTGACCACGACCCATTTTATGCAAATTTACCATTTAACCAGGAAATAACAGGAAAATATAGAAGAATAGTATCCAAGTCTGGGTGATTTATTACGGAAACACAATTGGTGCATGTTTACTCTGCATAGTATGTGAGCCGATACATTTCCAAAGTTATTAATATAGCATTGAATTTAACCAAAATATTTCAGAAAAAGAAAGTGCTAGTCTGGACTTGTGAGGTTATTTCGTGACTCACATAAATTGCCTATCTTATAACTGATAATGCAAACATGTTCTGATATAAATGGCTTGTTTTATCTAACATCTTCATAATTATTTGCTTTGAGACCTGAAATATAAAGGAATAATTGATTATTATTTATTCAGTACATATTAATTGTTTTAAATTAAACCGACACAAGGTTTCTATGTTTTGGACACTACGACGCCGACATGATTCCATATAAAATCTGATTGGTTTATTACCGAAAATCAAAATTTGAAATGGACCAATCGTAGATAACAATTTTCAGACTGGTTTTCAAAATTTGGTTTTATCAATCTTAGAAACACTTTCAGATACATTGACCCAGTCTCGCCAACTGCTGAGTTACAATTGCCTTAGTCAGTAATTTCTATTCCATTTTTCACTTCAGTGATTGGGTCATGCGTTTCAAGTATTTAGTGGTGTTTGTTCATATACAAATTCATATTTGTTTTGGTTATAAAAATAGAACTTAATGTATCTACGTCATTTCCGTGTCACGTGACAATTTTTTTAAAATAGTCTAAGGGCGCGTTAGCTGAGAAGATATTCTATTCTAAAATAATCTAGATATAAAAATGGCCGAGTATCCGTACTTAAACTGCTCTACTTGTGTGTTCATTTTCGTGTATAACGTTGGTTTTAACCAGAAACATATGTTTTTCCATTTTTTTCTGCTCATCTTTTCAAGAGTTTAGTGATTTAAATTATTTGATCATATTTAGATATTAAAATAGACAGACATATTAATAAATATAATTGTTTACAAACATGCTTATAAATATGTTCCAATATTTATGTTTAATTCTACATTATAATATATTTATTTATTTAAAAATGTGCAATATCTAGTTAATGTTTAATTAATTTTATATTAGTACCTGGCCTATCCTTTACATGGGTCATGTTCTTTATTATTTTTAATGGACGTGGACACTTTGTTTGTCCGTTATAGCGCGATACCTCTGAAAGCTTCAGGACAATAATTACTATAAAGGCATATTATGTCTTGGGAACGAATAGGATTTTCATTCTCAGGCAGTTAAATGATGGTTTCAGATCAAGTTAATGCTAATTACCTGAAGAAAATAGTGCTGGATGTGAAATTATTTGTCAGAAAAGTAGCATAATTTAAGCAAAGCAGTATTTTGACTTTCATTCAAAATTCTGAATCATAATAATTGTACTAATTGCCAAAAAGCAACAGAAGCAAATAATTGGCAGGTGTGTAACCTTTTGGATATATTATTATGGGACATAAGAAATAATTAGCTTCTGAGAATTAAACATAAAACATATCGGGGCATAATGGGCCTTTAAATTAAACTTCATTAGAAAGAGAAATAATGAAATTAACTTCTTTAAAAGATTATGTCATTGAGTTAATTTATAAGCATTTTGTGTTTTTGAAAACAAGCACCAACAATTTAAATATGAAAAGAATTGTTTAGATAGTTATAGAGCTTTATATAAGAACAGCCATGAAAAGATTTCTGATTTGTCCTGCCTGATCTATGTTTGTTCTACTAAGGTTTCAATTTAAAATTTATCTCTTTTTTTCTTTTCATTTTGTATTTGGTATATGAAGCCTTGGAGATGCGCTGTATTTTGTATAGGAATACGTCTATTTTTGTTTGACCCGTAGACTGCCGGCGGCAACTGGTCCTACCCATTGGACCAGTCCGTCTGATCATGGTCTGAACTGTTTTGGTCAATGTTATGAAATTTTCCCTAAAAATGATGAATGGTTTTGTCCAAATTGAAAGATGGGCAAGTCCATTTAACATATTTAGCGTGGCAAGGATTAAAAGAAGCTCAAATGACTTTATATTTAATGAATTTTATTTTATTCCTAGTCTTTTGTTCATTTACACTTCATATATTGTGTTTGTTGCTGTTAAAAACCTGACACAAACAAAAATACAAGACTTTTAATCTCATCGCTGAAAACAAAGTTTCATTTGATTTTCTGATACAAATTTCAAAAGGCCAAAATGCTGAACTATATGTAAAGATTTTCATGTAGATATGATACTTTTCTATGCCATAAAGTACAAACTTCATCATTTTTTATTTATATTCTTATATTTGTGTTCATGTAAATATGTTCGTACAACTATTGATAAAATAAAAATTGCTTTTCCAACATATTCGGACATTCGTATTTCCAACAAGTTTGTTTCGTGTTGTTTTTTTTTAATTTTACACATTAATAAATTCCATGAATAATTGCAAACTCAATATTTTTTTCTGTACCATAAATTCGACATTTGAAATGAAAAGGTGGAACAACTTATAGGAGGAAAAAAAGAAATTAGATTTTTCATGAGATTAGATTTATTATGTAGGACACTTCTCTATCTATAGTTAAATACATTTGTAACACATTTTTACAAAGACAGAGAAGAAAACAATAAACTTATGAAAAAAAAGAAAGTTGCCATCCTACATTTTGAGTTATCTGCCCATTAAAATGAGAGGGTTTTTTTTGTAAATTCTTTTTTCATGTCTCTAAGGCACAATACATATTAGGATTAGGTTTTATGAATGTGAATTGTTTAAAGGTGTATTTAGACAACAAATTGCATGATTTGAAATGTTTTTTTATAATGTATCAGTAAATATTTATAAACTTGTATATCTGATGGTGGAGTTTTGAATTTCTAAGTTAGTAACCTACTTAAGCATATACTTCGCATACTAAAATAGTTTATATTGTATATTAAAATTTACTTTGAATACTAAAATTTGTATGCATTGTATGTAAGATTTACTCCGCTTTACTGAAATAGTATGCATTGTATTTTATGTTTACTTTGCATGCTAAATTAGTATGCGTTTTAGAAGATTTAAGCTTTACAGATAAATGTTTCTTAAATGTGCATACTAAAATAGTAAGCAAAAGCATACTAAAACAGTATGCTTAAAATATTTTTTAAAAATCTTTGCATAAATATATGTAACGTACTGTACATGAAATTTACTTTGTATACTATTTTTGGTGTGGAATCTTTTTGATGAAAAAAAAACAAAAACAACAAATTTTTATTAAGAACATAGATAGCAAGCGAGATAAATAAACTTTATTTTGCATGAAAATAGTATGCTCTGTATGTTAAATTTTACTTTGCATACTATTTTCAGTTTGTACTCTTTTTTTTATAAAATACATTTTGCATACTAAAACAGTTTACACTATTCGTTTAAAAATATTGTACATGAATTTAGTATGTACTGTACTATTTTGTATTTACTTTGCATACTAATGTAGTATGCAAACATATTTGGGGAGAATAGTCACTTTGCATACTGAAATAGTATGCATAGTATATTAAAATATTACTTTGCATGAAAATAGTATGCGTTGTATTTTTTACATTACACTGCATACTTATTCAATATACGTTGTATGTGAGGTCAATAAATTCTGTAAAGGTTATATATTAACTTATTTATGTACTTTAAGGGCAGTACATATGCCAGTATAGAAAAAAACTTAACTTGTAAATTTGTACAATAGGTGTGCTTTCATTTGTCTACATGTTCTATTTCATAATTATTGTGTGTAATGTATTCTTATGAAAAACAGATAATATTGCTTTACCTTAGTCGACTTTTTTTGATTCGTACATGTGCTCTACAAGTAAGTCCACGCGTATGAATGCATTTGTTATCTGTGAAACTTATGACCGTTTTTACTCTGGTGTTATTATTTAAGCTAAGTCTTAAGTGACGCTTTGAATCTGCATCCACACTTGTACATGCTTTATGTGAACAAAATTGATATTTAGATGTAACTATTATCAGTAACTTAATTTATCATGTACGCTAACATGTGTATATTTCAGTTCTCTAAAAATCCATTCTGTATATCTGACGTCATCGCAAATGATGTCATTCATGGTTTCCATGGCAATGCGATGACGTTTCAGCGCGTTGCCATGGTGATCACCATCAATATCAGACCAGCTGATACAATGTATGTTTATATGAACAAATTATGTCTGTGACTGTTATTGTCTATCTATCTCTAACATTAACTTGAAATAAAAACTTAGCATTTTATGAAAAAAAAATCATGTCTTGGGTTTTCCTTTACAAAGTACTTATGTGATTGGCTATAGTGTTCATCGTCATTCGAAGTCCGTAGCTTTACAAACCTTATGAATAACCCCACTTAAACCATCCTAAAACGTGTGGTAGATTAGAAATGGTTCTTAAATGGTCCATACATGGAGATACATCGATGATCTTCCGTCACCAATAAAGCTAGAAAGTTTTGACATCACCACTTCTGTGTTGTGCGACGTTAAGCCTAACGAGTAAAACCAAGAAAGGGTGGTCTGCTACAAAACATCGGTAAAAAGGTAAAAATTGCTCACCCATATGGTCTCTTTATCGGTGGCGAGGGTAAACAAACGCAAACACACACACGTACAAAGTAGATCAGGAGGTTTTTAATATTGAATTAAATCTGTCAGAAATTAGAAACCCCAAGGCTTAAATAATTTGTATGAAGCATTGCTTTGTATTCCACTAGTCATATGAATCATTCCCTCAAGAGTCAAAATTGATGAACCTGTCCATACACTTATTATAGTTATATATACACAAACTTTTACATCCTCTAATTGTCTAATGATGGTCTTTCCACCCGTTAATACACAAAAAGCAGCTTTCGCTGCCAAATATGAAAATTAACCCCGGACGTGTCACCAGCCATGCCTTTAAAATAGCTCTTAGTAGTATGCAATTTCCACCGACATGAATTGTTAGCCATAAGTAGGACACAGTATAGCGGTCTATGAGCACCTTAACACGTGACAATAATGAAGAAGGTTAACCCTGATAAGGGTTGTTGGTGCCAAGCAAAGGACCTGTCTTAAGCCTAGGTCACAAATAAGAAAATGCCGCCGGGCGGCGTCTGTTTCTCCAAAAAATCGCAATATCGGTCGGCGTCCGTCCGGCGGCAGTGACTATCGGACGGCAGCAGCTGAAAATGTTGCTCATCGGGCGGGCGCCTTCGAGTTTTAAGTAATACTTAAAAGCTAACGGCGGCCGGACGATAATTTTTGGGGTCACTGAGTATAAATATCATCGAGCGGACATCGCTCGGTCGCCGGGCGGCGACCGGGCGATGATTTTTTGATCGGGCGATTTTTTGTTTTACTAAAACACCGTCCGATTTAAAAGGCGTCCGGGCGGACATCGGCCGGGCCCCGCCCAGTGCCTGAATAGAGACAAGTAGTCAAACGATTATCGCCCGGTACCCGGACGATTCATATACAGGCACCGGGCGGTCATCGTTTTGTCATCCGGCGACCGGGCTGCTTGTGTTTGTTGTTATTTCAGCTTGAAGAAGTTGTAATTGCCTCAAAAATATATTTGTGAATTTCTTTTGAATACTAGTAAACATGAATTTTTTCTTCAATGTCCATGCGAATGTCTGATTGATTTTCGCCTTCCACGGCCTCGATACTGGCCGTTGGTGACTCGGTGTCAACAACACGGACCATCTCCTTGGCCTTCCCCTTGGCTTTGGTAGCTGACTTCTTTGCTGGCATAATTACAACTGGCTGATTTATAAAGGATGTCATTAAATGTAAAGTCATTGTCGCCCGGCGCCCGCGCGACAACCGTCCGATTCACTTTTAAATCGCACAGGCGCGGTACAGACATCGGGCGGCGACCGCCCGATCCGTTCAATTCCTTCTGTAAAATCCATTCGGCAAAAAATCGCCCGACGACTGTTTCATTCATGACCATGCAAGGTATCAGATTTAAAATCGCCCGGCGTCCACGACATCAAAAAATCTGCCGATTTTACAAAAATCGTTTAATCGCACGGCGCCCGTTTTATTTGTGACCTAGGCATTACAAGCCGTCACTGCACACAAGGGTTTACGCACTCTAGTACTCTTCCTCGTCATTTCTGTTTACTCTGTCGGGATGATCTCCTCGGCTTCAGTCAGTCAGCTGGTTCGTAGAGTGCGAGAGTAGCTTAAATCCTAAAAACAGTGTTGTGGTGGTTTGACATCTAGTTCTGCCTTCTATGTGCAAACACAGCGCTAGGATCTTAACCAATTTACAGGTTTTTGTTGAAACAAAGTCGAGCCGAGCTCTTGATATTCTGCCGATTCACAGGTGCCTCTTCATCACGTGTACGTGACGATGGATAGGAGAATCTTGTCTGAAACAACATCACCTGTAGCAAAAATATTTTTATGCCCCCACAATGTGGGAGCATATAGCGTTGCACATGTCCGTCCGTCCGTCAGTCCGTACGTCTGTCCGTCCGTCCGTACGTCCCGAAATCTTGTGAACGCAACTCCTCTTAAACCGGATGGCAGATTTTGCTTAAACTTACAGGGATGAACAACCTTAATGTGTAGATGGTAGTAAAGGAAGGAATTTTCGCTGCGACCAAATTTAACAGAATTATGGCCCTTTGTTGATTTTTTCACTATATACTATGTAGAAATTTTGTGAACGCAACTCCTCTTAAACCGGATGGCAGATTTTGCTTAAACTTACAGGGATGAACAACCTTAATGTGTAGATGGTAGTAAAGGAAGGAATTTTCGCTGCGACCAAATTTAACAGAATTATGGCCCTTTGTTGATTTTTTCACTATATAATATGTAGAAATTTTGTGAACGCAACTCCTCTTAAACCGGATGGCAGATTTTGCTTAAAATTACAGGAATGAACAATCTTAATGTGTAGATGGTAGTAAAGGAAGGAATTTTTGCTGCGACCAAATTTAACAGAATTATGGCCCTTTGTTGATTTTTTTCACTATATAATATGTAGAAATTTTGTGAATGCAACTTCTCTTAAACCGGATGGCAGATTTTGCTTAAACTTACAGGGATTAACAACCTTAATGTGTAGGTGGTAGTAAAGGAAGGAATTTTTGCTGTGACCAAATTAAACAGAATTATGGCCCTTTGTTGATTTTTTCACTATATACTATGTGGAAATTTTGTGAATGCAACTCCTCTTCTATTAAACCGGATGGCAGATTTTGCTTAAACTTCCAAGGATTAACAACCTTAATGTGTAGATGGTAGTAAAGGAAGGAATTTTTGCTGCGACCAAATTTAACAGAATTATGGCCCTTTGTTGATTTTTAGTTTTCAACTTGTGGCACATGTAGTCCAAAAAATGTTTGACCTAGAGTCATAAGATTGACAGAACAGTGGCGTGTGGGGGCATCCGTGTCCTATGGACACATTTCTAGTTTAACATATTTTTAAGCTCGATTGCGAATCAAGTTCTTGCAACTTAAATTAAACATTTTCGAGTCCTCTTCCTGGAACCAGCCAGTACTGGTGTCATAATTATAAAGAAACATAGTCGCGACCCGATGACCCGATTTGGGCTTCACCCCTTGATTCATTGGTTGAGAGGATGACACCTTAATCACTGTGTTCTAATACCTGGCTCTATCCTAGTGGCAAAAGGGAAATTCATGGTCCGTACCAGCAAAGTATGGGTTTAGGCCCAAATCTGTATGCAGAAAGGCATAATTATAATTTGCAAGGATCTGTTGTTTTGGAACTTTTAAATTTCTCTTTCATTTATTGAGAAATGCGATGCATGATATGTTGGATTCTTTTGTTCCCCGTTACCGCCAGTAGCTTCAAATTAATCATTTGAATCATCAGTCTAGGACATACTGACTATGTAAATGCATGTGCGTAGATATGGATTCTAACCGGCAAACCCGAGATCGCATGCACTCATGCTCTAAATATTTAGCTTAGCGAGTAAATTATATGTTTCTCTGGTAATCTTCCGTAAGCGATTTTCATTGTCTGTGGTATAAAACTTTTTAACTTTTACTAGTGTTATATCAATACTGTCATGTAATGTATTTCTAGTTGCGCAGGTACCAAGATAATCTGTATTTAAATTAACCCCTTACCAAGGGATAATCATTACTAAAACATTTACTTACATGCAGTAAACGACTAACAGAATGGTTGAATTACATGGGTGGTATTCTAGAACAAACTTGTGTTTTTCAACTTTCACCAATAGAATATCTGGAGCAGTTTTAACCATACCAAAAGGAAAATTTTCTAAATGGCTTTAAAAAGCCATGACGAAATATTTTTGAAAGAGGGCGTTTCTTCAACAGACCCTTATCTGTTATAATAGTAGGAAGACATTTCTTCATCAAACAGACCCTGATTTGTTATATTGGAAGAGGGACGTTTCTTCAACAAACAGACTCTGATTTGTTATATTGGAAGAGGGACGTTTCTTCAACAAACAGACCCTGATTTGTTATATTGGAAGAGGACGTTTCTTCAACAAACAGACCCTGATTTGTTATATTAGAAGGAGGATGTTCTTCAACAGACACTGATCTGTTATATTGGAAGAGGGACATTTCTTCAACAAACAGACCCTGATTTGTTATATTGGAAGAAGGACGTTTCTTCAACAGACCCTGATCTGTTATATATTGGATGGTTTGGGGCTGTCCGTCCGTAGACAATTGGTTTCTCTCTTTTTTAATTTTAAAGGATCTCAATACTTGTGTTTATAACTTGGCATGTAAGTTTGTATATCAAAACACAGGTCAAGTTCGATTTTGCTGCAAATCAACTTATTATGATAGAGTTATGCATTTTTTAAACAAATTGTCTGTGAAAATATTCTGTGAAATAACGAGTATTGACTCTTGAAGGATTTCAATGAATGTGTTTATACTTGACATGTAAGTATGTAAGTTAGGTTTGATAGTTTGTTGCAATCAATACATAATTAAAAGATTTATGGTCCCTTTAAAGTAAATTTTCAGCAAAATTATTCCGGAGTAATAGCTTTTGAAGCATTGCAAAGATTGTTTAAATTTTGGAATTCGTGTATGTAACGTCAAAACAGTAACACATGTCAAGTTTGATTTTCTCTGCAATTGAAATTATAATGATAAAAATCTGGAAACAAATGATTCCTCGGAAGCACTTTATCACAACAAAATTACACGGAAGTTGCAGACTCGGTTTGATTGAGTCTGTACATGAGGGATAATGAATATTAATCCTCACATCCCTTGCACCGGTTTTGAGCGGTACCCAATTCTCAACACTTAATAGTGCTGGCAACAATTATCCAGAAGGACCCACACAGCACTTGACACCTCCCGCGGCAGCCATTTTGGAGGTCATAAATTAGTATATGTAATTAACATAAATTAAGTCAGAGAAGTTTGGTGAATTGTCAAATATTTAAACATGTGGTTTAGAAAAATGTTATCACACCACCCATATAAATGTGGTTTTTATCAGCTTACATGAAGTTGATAAATAACGAATGATTGTAGTCTTATCTTAAACATACAATAGTTTTGAAATGTGACCGTTAGAATGGCGACCACAGATGTTTTTCATGATAAACTTACACAACAAATCATTGCAAATTACTTATTGTTAGTTGTACGAGCATGTTTGACTTTGTATCGTAGATAAGACCCGTTCTGTAATTACGCTAGATTATGTGCATGTCCATATGTTTGATGAAAAGGATCAATAAATTACAATAATTATGGTCCAAATACATTACATAAAACTGGCGCAAATAACCTAAGTATTCAAAACTTTTTTTCATCTTGTCAAGAACTAGAAAAAACTAAAATTTCCACGCAACTTACTGTTTCTTGGACCCAACTGAAAGCAAGTCGGCCATATATAACAATTATTCTCAACATAAAATAGTTTTGATATCCGATATGTTGTCTGTAAAATGCAGAACGTGTTCTTACTTCGCTCGTTGTAACATGTTTTCTCGTCTTGGATCACTATTATAATAGCCACATCTCTTTGAAATATATTACTAAGTTGGACAAAAGAGTATATCCTTACAAGCAGAATGCAACCACGGACTTTGGTGCAACATAAGAGGCTAAGGTTTCTTACGTAAGGAAATTGAGGTAAGTTTTCCTTGCATATGTAGTAAACAGGATTATTTGAATCCGCTTTCTATTCAAGTTTCTAAATGATTGTTTACGATGATATGAACATGTATAATGTATTCATTTTATCAATCTTTTGTAGGTTTCTGCTATTTTTGTCTGTCAAGTCAAACTAACACACTAGGAATAATATATGAATTTTATTAAGCATTAAACAAAATATATGTACAAACGCTCGTTGTACCATGAAACAGTTGCCTTTCTTAAATGACCTAAATCCATTTTTTGAAACTGTCCAATATCAACAGTACAGAGCAAAATGTACGAAACAGAACGCTGATATAGTAAAATGCTAATGGCAAAAGCCACAAACTTTCGTTCGAAGCAGTGCGTTTATTATTAGTTTATTCACAAAGTAATTTTTCTGTGTAAATATAGTTTCTCTATTCATATTTACGATGACCATTCACATTAAAAAGCAGATAACTGTGGTACCATCGCTTTAAATTTTAACCATTACATGTGTTCAGTCCGACTGTCTTAATAGTTCTATATTTTGTATTATATTATCTTTAAAACTAAGAATTACTATCAAAAATGAGTTTGAAAGTTAACCTATGAAAAAACAACAAATTATTAAATACCAATGAAAATTTCTGTATTGTAATAATTAAGCAAAAATAAAAAATGGTTTATTAAACAGGGTTACAGTAGGAAAAAAGTTAAAATATGTCAGTGTATAAATACATGTAGAAAAATTATCATTCACTCAAACTGGTAAATCATAAACGTATATATGACTGAACATTGTAACAATCAATTACCAATATATTAAATACATTTAAAACACAGTCATTTAAAACAGAATAAAATTCTTCCTAGGAAGAGATTTATAAATATGTATATGAACAGATTCAAAACAAATCTGCGAGTTTTACTTGTCAAATCTTTTTTTTCATTCCTATAGAAGATTTTTAACGCACAAACTCTTATAACCTTAAATATGTTTATAAAATAAGATTGAAATATTTATTAATGTATGTGTAGGAATGTAAACTTTAGTTGTAAAATAGTAAGAGCCAATAACAACATATAATATCTGATTAGTTATTTTTCAAACTCATTAAACTCATCTTAGCAGCCAAATCGTTGATTTTCTTTTTTCCTTTTTTTTCCTTTTTAGAAATATCTTTTTTCAATCGAATTGCCTTCTTCGGAATTTTTTCTACAAAAAGAACCTCTTTAGAAGACTTTGCAAAATTTCTGTGAATGGCACCTTTAATAAAGTGATTTCTGACTTCTTCATCACACAGATTGATGCACTTCTTCTCGTATTTGGTTCCAGCAAGTTCTTGAATATCTATTTCTACAATTCGCAAAGGTACTTTTCTAGGTTTTCTTTCGGATGTATCCATTTCAAAGTAGGCCCAGTATCTGGCTACGTCTAAACTTGAAGTAGTTGAGATGAACTTTGATTTAAATCTTGATCCCGATGCAATATGCTGCTCAACAAATCTGGTTGAATTTTTATCTTGACAAATTATTCCGTTTTTAATAGATTCCTTTTCTCTTAAAACTCGGTATAGGTAATTTGTGTCATCTAATCCATGAAATCCATAGTAGTTTTTATCCTTTGTTTCTCCCTTACTTTTACCCGATGTTGATGTTGCTTTAGATGAAATAATACCTTCTACATTTTCACCCGAACTTGATGATGTTTCAGAATCAGATGACAACAGAATCAGATGACAAAATACTTTCTTCATTTTGGTCCAATCTTGAAATATCATCCAGCCACTGTTGACTGCCGTAATTCATATTGTTTGTATGCCATCCTGAAAATCGAGTAAAAAACAGTATTCTTGATTACATGCGAATTTTTAACAGATGTTGAAAATGCTAAGTTACATGGTGGTGGTACGGCCGAGTGGTTAACGCGTCTGACTTGTAATTCTATATGTATCTCTAGCCGCCTTGGTTCAAACTCTGTCACAAATCGTTGTTTCCTTGAGATACAAACTCATTGTTTTGTGCTGGTTGGTTCTAGGAACGGATTCGAGTTTGTGTCTATAAGCTTAAATTATATCTTTCTACACCATCAAACTTAAATTATTTCTGTATAATTTAAAGAAAGCTTAGTTTCACTATGTTTTATTATGATGGACAACAAAGCAGGTACGTCAATAACTGAAAATCTTAATTAAAGATTAAAGCGTACGTCAATGACCTTGAAACATAGACGGTGATAAAAAATTCATAATGTTCAGTTAACATTCGCATGGGCCATACATACAGGAATTGATCTTAAAAGAAAAACAAGAACACCAGCTTGCATAAAGAACCTCTTTAAACATGACTTACTAAAAAAGGTTAATCAAAATAACTCACTTTGTATATAAGTCCTTTCTTCAAACTGTTCAGTTAATACTCCAGTGAAGACTCAATTATTATATGAAACACTGTTCGCAGGCGTTTATAGTCTCCATTCGTTTAAAGAGGGTCATACAAAAAGTTATACTGTTTTAAACGCTTCATTCTATAAAATACACTTAATTACTTTAGTCATCCGTTCACTTCTGTAGGTTCGTGCTGCGCATGCGCCTTCACCTCAGTTGCCCGTTTGTGCCTGAGATAACGTACAAAGGGACATCTGAGGTCTTTCTCCTGCAGTCTAGCTGGAAAGTCGCCACATGACCTATACAGTATACTTCGACGTCAAACCTAATACAATAAATGAATAAATAAAAAACTTCAAAGTATTTACACAATACCATGTTTACCCTGATAAAAAGCAATGCCAAAAACCTTTCTAAATGTCCTTGAGCTTTGAAAATAAAACTTCAAAGGGAGATAAGCGACGGATGATTTACGACTGCAGACAGAACAGACATACATATTATAAGTAAGGAATGAAAATTTGAGCTAGTCGTTCTTTTAAAAATATTGGAATAGAACCCGCCCGTTTTAAGTTTTATTTTGAATTAAGCATTTCAAGTTACGGTGCAGTTTTGAATATGTTAAAACTTCGATTTGAACGTTAAACATATCTAAACTGTGAGTATTGAAATGGTCTGATATTCATCCAATATCCGCTTTGCCTAACAAAGCATTTTACCTTACATCTATATGAGCCACAAATATTAAAGAGGTGATCCATACTTGAAGCAAAGGTAAATTTATTTTTTCCATCAGCCATATTTATTCATTTGGCAAGTGACAAAAATTGGTATACGACAAGTAATTCATTTTTGGATCAGTTCAAGTTTTTTTTTTTAAACTGAAGCTATATAGTGACAGAACTTTTTGCAAGACCCTCATTAAATAAAAAAGATTAAGTCATCTGATCTAGCTGATAACATACATTCTATCGAAATGTAAACAGTAAGTATAATGTTCGATAATGTAAAACGAATGTTTGACATCCAAAGGAAAATTAATTCACTTTCGGTACAAGTATGATTTAAAATATGTCTGACAACCGTTTCTAATTTAAATATGTCCATTGTTGTACAAATATAAACAAATCCGAGTTGATGTCAACAGGTTGGCATTTTATACTTTCCGTTTCTATAACCATAATAATAATAAGTATATAAGAAATGTACTGTTTAATTTTAAATCTATGAATTTACTTTGGTGAGAAAAAAAACGAAAGAACGATGGTGAAAAGTCGAAACCAGGGTGACGACAGTCGAAAGTACAATGGTAAAAAGTCGAAATAACAAAACCACGATGCCGAAAGGTCGAAAGTACGATAGTGAAATATGAAATTATTTCGAGTTTTTACCATCGTGATTTCATTTTTTCGACTTTTCACCATCGTACTTTCGACTTGTCATCATAGTATCTTCGACTTTTCACCATCTTGATTCCGTAATTTCGACTTTTCATCCTCGTTTTTGTGTTTCCGTTGTTTCGATTTATGTGTCAGGATGGCCCTACCGGGTCACCATACTTTTCCGAGGGAAAGTATGGTGGCTGATTTGTGCCATTTCGCGCTTTCGCCCCGCGACCCCGCCAAGCGAAAAGTCGAGAATTAACAAGTTAAAAAGTCGAGATTAAATTGTATAACCGCGAGGCCGCGAAGCGAAATATTTATTGTTTTTGGGCGCTAATTAGCGTGCTGTTGTCCGCACCGCCGCCAAATTATTATTAAAAACCTCGACTTTTCGCTCCGCGTCCCCGCTAATTAGCGTGTTGTCGCTCCGCGCCCCCGCCGTTTTTGTAGTTAAAATCTCGTCTTTTCGCCCCGCGCCCCCGCTAATAAGCGTGTTTTTGTTCACGTCCCCCGCGCCCCCGCCGTTTAATTTCTTAAATCTCGTCCCGCGATCCCGCGGGGCGAACTTTTATTCTTAATTTTCGTCTTCTGGTTTTTGTGGGGCATGCGCAGTTTGTTTTACACAGTGTGTTAACACAGGCATGGATGCATTCTATCTGTAAACTTGTGACATTATAACAGGGAAAACAAAAATTCAATACAGTATAGATACCGATTCACTTGTGATTTAGAGATATTTTCTTCTATTATTCTGTTGAAGACGAAAATAAAGAAATAAAAACTTCGCCCCGCGTGGGCGCGGAGCAAAATTTAAGGAATTAAACGGCGGGGTCGCGGGGTGAAAACGAAATTTAAGAAAAAAACTTCGCCCCGCGGGGTCGCGGAGCGAGATTTAAGAAATAAAACGGCTGGGGCGCGGGGCGAAAACACGCTAATTAGCGGGGCGCCGAACAAGGTTACAAGGTTTAAAGAATAAATAAAACCACGGGGGCGCGGAGCGAAAAGACGAGATTTTAACTACAAAAACGGCGGGACCGCATAGCGAAAACACGCTAATAAGCGGGTGCGCGGAGCAAAAGTCGAGTTTTTAAAGAATAATTTGGCGGGGGCGCGAACAACAGCACGCTAATTAGCGCCCTATAACAATAAATATTTCGCTTCGCGGCCCCGTGGTTTTACAATAAAATCTCGACTTTTCGCCCCGCGACCCCGCTAATTAGCGTGTTTTCGCTCCGCGTCCCCGCCATTTTAACTTATTAATTCTCGACTTTTCGCTTGGCGGGGTCGCGGGGCGAAAACACGAATGGCACAAATCAGCCACCATAGGAAAGGGATATTGATAGAAAAGTTATAATTAGATGATGGTACATTGATTTCTTTTACTAAATTTTACATAATTTGATGACAGGTAAAGTATTTTAGCTTTCTAGTTTACTACATTATTAAACTTTCATACAGATGTAATAGGCTGAAAATAATAAAATTTAGAGTTTATTCGAAGGTAAGAAATTGCTTTTCCTAAAGGTGCAAATTACATTTTTTCGATTGCCTTATAAAATATTACTAGGAATTCAACAACTAGCAGAAAGTGTAATTGATGTATATACTTTGTCTCTGACCACATAAAAATTATTGAATTCATTTACACAAAACATTTTAAATAATGACACTGAACAGAATGATTACAAACAAATTATTGTGTAACGTTCAATATTTTATTAATATATAGCATTTGCCAGCATAAATCTTTTAATGAAACTGTATGATGTCTTGTAATAAACCTGTAAAATGTTTTGTAATGGAACTGTATGATGCCTTGTGAAGAATCTATATGATGTCTGGTAATGAAACTGTATGATGTCTTGTAATGAAACTGTGTGATGTCATGTAATGAAACTGTATGATGGCTTGTGATGAAACTGTATGATGTCTTGTGATGAATCTGTGTGATTTCTTGTAATGAAACTATGTGATGTCTTGTAATGAAACTGTATGATGTCTTGTGATAAAACTGTATGATGTATTGTCATGAATCTGTGTGATGTCTTGTTATGAAACTGGGTGATGTCTTGTAATGAAACTTTATGATGTCTTGTATTGAACCTATGTGATGTCTTGTAATGAAACTATGTGATGTCTTGTAATGAAACTGTATGATGTCTTGTGATGAAACTGTATGATGTCTTGTAATAAAACTGTATGATGTCTTGTGATGAAACTGTATGATGTATTGTCATGAATCTGTGTGATTTCTTGTAATGAAACTGTGTGATGTCTTGTAATGAAACTGTGTGATGTCTTGTTATGAAACTGTATGATGTCGTATGATGTCTGGTAATAAAACTGTATGATGACTTGTAATGAAATTGTATGATGTCTTGTGATGAAACTGTATGATGTATTGTCATGAATCTGTGTGATTTCTTGTAATGAAACTGTGTGATGTCTTGTAATGAAACTGTATGATGTCTTGTTATGAAACTGTATGATGTCGTATGATGTCTGGTAATAAAACTGTATGATGACTTGTAATGAAATTGTATGATGTCTTGTGATGAAACTGTATGATGTATTGTCATGAATCTGTGTGATTTCTTGTAATGAAACTGTGTGATGTCTTGTAATGAAACTGTGTGATGTCTTGTTATAAAACTGTATGATGTATTGTCATGAATCTGTGTGATTTCTTGTAATGAAACTATGTGATGTCTTGTAATGAAACTGTGTGATGTCTTGTTATGAAACTGATTGATGTTTTGTAATGAAACTGTTTGATGTCTTGTAATGAAACTGTATGATGTCTTGTAATGAAACTGTATGATGTCTTGTAATGAAACTGTGTGATGTCTTGTAATGAAACTGTGTGATGTCATGTAATGAAAATGTATGATGGCTTGTGATGAAACTGTATGATGTCTTGTAATGAAACTGTGTGATGTCATGTAATGAAACTGTATGATGTCGTATGATGTCTTGTAATGAAACTGTATGATGTCTTGTAATGAAACTGTATGATGTCTTGTGATGAAACTGTATGATGTCTTGTAATGAAACTGTGTGATGTCTTGTTATGAAACTGTATGATGTCGTATGATGTCTTGTAATGAAACTGTATGATGTCTTGTAATGAAACTGTGTGATGTCTTGTAATGAAACTGTATGATGTCTTGTAATGAAACTGTGTGATGTCTTGTAATGAAACTGTATGATGGCTTGTAATGAAACTGTATGATGTCTTGTAATGAAACTGTGTGATGTCATGTAATGAAACTGTGTGATGTCTTGTTATGAAACTGTATGATGTCGTATGATGTCTTGTAATGAAACTGTATGATGTCTTGTAATGAAATTGTGTGATGTCTTGTAATGAAACTGTGTGATGTCTTGTAATGAAACTGTGTGATGTTTTGTAATGAAACTGTGTGATGTCTTGTAATGAAACTGTGTGATGTCTTGTAATGAAACTGTGTGATGTCTTGTAATGAAACTGTGTGATGTCTTGTAATGAAACTGTTTGATGTCTTGTAATGAAACTGTATGATGTCTTGTAATGAAACTGTATGATGTCTTGTAATGAAAATGTAAGATCTCTTGTTATGAAACTGCATGATGTCTTGTAATGAAACTGTGTGATGTCTGGTAATAAAACTGTATGATGTCTTGTAATGAAACTGTGTGATGTCAAGTAATGAAACTGTATGATGGCTTGTG